CAAAAGCCAAAAATATTTTCGACGGGCACACCTTTATCCACGAAAGATTTTAAAACTTTTTCGGATATTTGCTCCGAACTGGCCAATGCTTCTTTGGTGTCGTATATATCGACTAAATCCCATAGGCCTTCGCCAATTTTTTGATTTTCATAGTCGATGAACCGCACAATTATGCACATGCAATGTAGTAAGCCTCGGTCAGTCGATTCATCGATTATTATCGAAAATTTTTGTTTTTTTAAGATGTCCGTGAGTTCTTGTTTTCGCACAGGACAAATCAGCCTTTTTATGACTTCGGTCATTTTGTATCTACTTAAAAATACGTTACTTAAAATAGTGGAGTCTGGAAAACATCTTTTCAATACTGGCATGAAAGGATCGATTAAAGATGCTGGTAAATTCTGTGACGCGAAAAAGCCACTTAACAGGATAATCGCAGACTCGACACTTTTATCCAAGTCGGAAATAGGTAGTGGACTGTTATGAAACCGACGAGCATTATCTTTGTGCGCATCTAATGTTCCATGTCTCAGCAACAAATCAGATCGCGGACAGTAGTCATGTTTGCAGTATATGCAATAGGCTAAATTTTCTTCATTCGAAGAGACTTGTAGCCAATCCGATAATTCGGGATGTTTTTTTTTCCACCCACTAATTTTTTCTTCAAGAGTTTTCATAATTTAACGACACTACACACACTTTACGATAGTAAATACCACTTTTTCAGCTTTGCAGTTATCTGTTATATTAAGTTTTAGCCGTCGAGATTTCAATGCAAAATGTTATTGCATTCTGCTACGAGCTGAAACCGCGCGATCGAATTTCCCAGAAAAACAAATGTGAGCATGGGCAAATTGAAAAAAATTATGAGAGGTTTGAGATAATGATTTTTTATTAAAAAAATTGTTAGTCAAACTCGCCTACATAGTTTACTGTCTTTACATATTCATAAAAATACAAACAATAATAGTTTTTAATTTACAAACTCAGCATAATAAAAAAAAATATTTATACATTTATATACATGAGATCAGATTTTTGATTGCATAAAACCATTGAAATTTTATTAAATTCATTTATCACGATTTCTGAAAAAAAGCATGAACAAAAATACCGAGCATGAATACTACATGGTGGTAGTACTGACATAACATCAATTCCATTGTGAGCGACCTTAACGTTCTGCTCGTTCAGTGGCGCACGCCGCGCGCATGCGAACAGACTTTTACTCAAAATCCTCACTCTTTTCACAACTCTGCTGAAACCAACGCTGGTAATGTCTGGCCACCGTTGGTCAGTACGCATTGAGACGCCGAAGAGTGCGTAGAGAAAGAAAAAGTGAAAGTGAAAGTTTGAGCGCCGAAGATGACGTCAAACGACAAACACGTGCAGAAACTTAACCAAAAAAGTATAGAGAGACTGAAGATTATGCGTGAAAAGTTTCAATTGGCGGGTACATCGGAGCGATATAAATTTCTTCGTCAACTTGACCCTTTAATCAGAGATTGGCAGGGCCAACTTCCTGATCTTCGAGACATTTTTCGGCCGAACGAAATCGACTGTCTTCTCAAGGATTCTGTAAACTACCAAGGAAGCGAACTGGATAAATGTTTAGGAGAACGGTTTATCGATTTTGTGATAGAAACCGGCTACAGGGACGAGCCCGAAGTCGTCAGCGAGGCAAGCCGGCCATTCGTGCGTCGCACCACGGCACTACACTGGGCGGCTAAATACAATCACAGCTCCGTCGTCGGTAAGCTTTTTGAAATATATCCCAGGTGCGATGTGACTTACTTCGACCTGGACGACGACTACACACATTTTCGTGTAGCCTGCAAATTTGGCTGTTACGAAGTCGTAAAGAGATACCTTGAGCTCGGACAAGATCCCAATTGCCTCGAGCAAGTAACGATCTCAGTTAATTCGCCGTGGTATTTTTTTATTATCTATCAAAATGAGAGGCAAAGATCAGTCGATCCGCCATTATATTTGGCTCTGTCGAACAAATGCAACGAGGTGGCACGATTACTACTCGAACGTGGCGCCAACCCCAGTTTGACACTACTGCACATGGGCAAATGTCACTTCGAAAATGACTCGGTCGAGCTGTTATTCGAGATCATGGATGACATGCAGCTGACGGTGCAGGACGACGCCCGGGACGACTTTGATGACACACTGCTGCACTTAGCTTTACTCCAGGGCAACGAGAAAGTAGCCGAATGGTTGCTGAGGAGAGGCGCCGATCCCTATTTAACCAACAAACATGGACAGACAGCTCTGCACATTATTGGCCTTAACCAATTCTATGGTGACTTGGTGGATATGTTCTTCAAGATCGTCGACGAAAAACATCAACCGGTTCAGGTCGACACCCAAGATGAGTGGGGTACCACACCACTGCACTCGGCTCTACGTTGGAACAACAAGAAGGCGGCCGAAGCACTGCTAGTAAGAGGGGCCAGTCCGCATTTGACCGATAGAAAAGGATCGACTCCTCTTCATGAGATTTGTAGTAGAAATAATGAGGATGAACTTGTGAAGGTATTTTTCGAGATCAACAATGCCAATCAGCGGACGGTGCAGGTCGATGCCAAGGACAATGAGGGTAGGACACCTCTTCAATTGGCAGTGGCACATGTCTTGCCGAATACTGTCGATTTACTTTTGGAACATGGCGCTGATGTGTCGAGCTTCGTCTTCCCCGCAGTGAGTTATTTTGAAAAGAGTTTCCAAATGCCGCTTGATTTGAAATTGAGGCTAGCGTGTGGTCTGATGTCCATCGTCGAACACCTTGAGAAAAGAGGATACGAATTGGACCGAAGCGACGCTCTGATCGTCATGAAATTATTCTCCAAGTACGGTTTGTTCGAGAAGTCATCGGATTCTGAAAAATGTTGGTACGACGACGAGTTTGCGGCAATAGCGAAAAACATAATGATGAATCCGAGGCTGTCACTCCTCGACTCGATCCAGTTACGTCCCCATGAGGCGGCAAAACAACTTACGTGTTCAGACTATTACAAGTTTGCATATCCGTCAAAATTGTATATGTTCAACCAAGAGCACAGGGAGCTTTGTGAGGTGCATCTGTGCGAGAAACTATCGAGAAAATTTTTCCGGCGATGGGCACTGGATTCTTTCAGGGAACTAATACACTATCGTCTGCCGCTTGAGATGTGCGAAATGATCATAGATGAATCATTCACGAACAAAGATTTATATAATATTTGTTTGGCGACTGGAACTTCGGATCACGAAACACTTTGAACAATACAATAAAGGTGCTGCAAGGCATATGTATAAGTACGAATGAATGAAAAAAAAATAATACTTGATCTTTAATAAATATGTTAATTTACTTTGGTAATGTTCAAACTGTTCTCCTAATTTTGTTTTGTACAACAATATGCATTACAATCGAAATAAATAAAAAAACATAATTTACTGACAGGCTTGGATTTTATTCTTTCCTTTTAATTTAATCATAAAAAAGTTGCTCATCTTGCAATCGTTTTTTTACATGGTTATTTAACGTCCAAGGGTGACAGCAAATCGACACATGACACCTTATTCCATTCACCGATTCATTTAAAAACAGTCTAAATTAAAAAAGACGGGGATGTTGCAGAATAAGATTTAATTTTACTTTTCAGTCATTCTACACTGATCTAGAAATTATTTGAATATTCGCAATTTTTAATGAACTTTTCTAGAATTTTTTTGAAAGAAATCTGACACCGGGAACAAGTTTTTCATGTTTGCAAAAAAAATTTTTTTTGAACGTTCAAAACTTCACAGAGAATCGGCCATATATAAGGAAAAATTTTTAAATTTACTAGTATAGAGAATAGCGTGATCGGTGATTAGAAAATTTCAGAACCCGCACTGAATGCAGCAATTTTTTGGGATAAAAACCATACGATCTAAAGGATATGATCTAAATATTTTATTGAAAAAGTCATTGAGGACATGTAAAAGTGAAAGTATAAATACTTTTGAGACAGTTAGATTATGCTGTGTAAATGCGATACCGCGAGGTGCATAATAACAAATTTTAGAAGTGGAATTTCCACAAAATTTAACTACACAATTTAGGAGTAAGTAAACTAATTCATTCATTTGAATTTGTTAAATTTAAATTAATAAATTTAGTCTTATTGCTTATGGCCATTTTAATATTTCCGGTGATTTTTATATTTAATGCTTTTAAATTTTGACTGAAAATTTATATTTTGCTGCTAATTGATTTCTACTGTAATAAAATATAACGTGTCTAAAAAGTCCATTTGATTATGAGTTTTTCAATACCATCAACAGATCGAGTATCCTGTATCACAAACTCTCAAGTGGTAAAACACATTATCGATTACTGTAAGTAATTCGAAGAAACGACCTCGAGCTTACCCATGACGGCCAATGGATTTATTCTTCTTTCGCGTGGAAAGACTAGTCGGACCTTTGCATGTATCGTGAAACGAGATTTGGCATTTTAGAAGAAAATCATATAAATACAAAAGTAATTACGAAACTCGTAATTAGTTTCATAAAATGCCTTCTGTTCTTGTTTCAACATTTTATCCTCCTTTCTGATACTTATCCGAGAGGTTTTACGGCGACTCGTAGTGCGTCAAAATGAATAACGCATCAAAATTTTTTAGAGATTAATTCGGTAGAAGTTTTAAAAAATTGGATTAGAATTTTAATGGTTTGTATTGACTTCGCTATCGCATAAATGGGTTTTTATATCACTTAACTTGAATAGCTTTGAATTATAAATGTAATTTAAACAAATATTTACTTGAATAAATAGCTGCGTTAAAGCAAACATAAATTATGTGCAAATCGAGTTGAATCTGTCCAAGTGAAAGACGCCTGCTTACAGGCTACCAGCTCGTCGCTTAGATTCCTCGGTTCCCATCGTCGCATCGTCGCGAGAGCTAAGTTTACGCGCACATGTCCAGTTCAGTTCACGATTCAGCAATTAGATTCGTTTTATATACGGTGTCAGTTGGCCGTGCGATAGATTGTACATAATCATAAGGCCCTGCTTTAAAATTAAGGTTGAAATTTCAGAAACTTTCGGTTAAGAATTATCATCCGAGTGCAATAAGTTAATTTCACGATTTGCGGGTTCGTTTACTTTCGTTACTATCATTGCGAATAACAGAAGAGGATTCTGCGCTTTTTGACAGTGTCAACGAAATTCCAAGCCAGGAAGATGGAATTAAGTGGTTTATCTAGGTATGATGTCAGGTAATTTTCGTTTTATGAGTGAAATGATACGAATCTTGTAACACAATACTTGAATTATTTGGGGTTATTTTAGGGTGAAAAAGGAGCCTAGTGATGACTTTCTCCTTGTTAATAAGTATAAAATGATTGAGGAGGGACCTGATCTTGAAAACTTCCAACTCTCACCATTTCCGGATAAGAATTCAGTAAGTGATGATAATTTGTATTTTAGTTGTCTTTTTTTAATGAAAATTCTCACGCATCTTCAATTTTTCGATAGACCCACAGCCTACGAAAATGTGGCGTAAATCAAGAAAGTGAACTTGATGACGAAGTGGAAATAGTCGTTGAATGTCAAGACGTTAAGCCCAACATTGATTCAATAAAGTTCAAGAAAATTAAGGAAGATTTTCAAAATCTCTTGAGTGATAAGAAACGCAATAACAATTACCAAATTCAGAATATAATTAAAATAGAATCAGTAGGTGAAATTAAAAAGAAATGTATTCGTGACGCTGCTAAAGAATCTAATTTCAATGTGGACTGTGAATTTGGCAAGCAAAATAAAAAAAGAATTAGTTCAAAAAAATCAGTTTATAGTGGTAACACCCGCAATTGTAACACATGCGGGAAAAAATTCACACAAAATAATATCAAAAACCACATCGATTCGGTGCACAACAAAATCACTCATGCATGCGATAGATGCGAGAAAAAATTTACAAGCAAAAGTTACTGTAAAAACCACATCGAGTCGGTGCACAATGGAATCACTCATACATGCCATGTGTGCAAGAAAACATTTACAAACAAGGGTAATCTAGCTGTCCACGTCCAAACGCTGCACAAAGGTATTACCTACGCGTGTGATGTATGCGGGTCGCAATTCATAAGTAAAAGATATCTCGAACGTCACGTCGATGCGACGCACGTCGGTATCGTACATGAATGTACCATTTGTAAAAAGACATTTGCTTATCCAGCTAATCTTAAAAGGCACGTTCAAGCGATTCATGAGAGGATAACTTATCCGTGCAAGATGTGTGGAAAGACATTTACGCGAAAGGATCATCTCTCGAACCACATCAATGAGATTCATCGTTGCGTAGTTTACGAATGTGATGCATGCGGAAAAGAATACACAAAGAAGGCCAGTCTGATAGCCCATATTAATTCGGCGCATAATGGTATCACTTACCCATGCGATTTGTGTGAAAAAATATATAAAGATAAGAGAGATCTCAATGAACACATCAAGCGGGTGCACGATAAAATCATTCCAAAGTGCGGAAAAAAGTTCTCAGGGTAATATTACACAAACCTATTGATTCGTGGCATGTTCGTGTATCGCGTGAATCAGATTTTTGCGGAATGAATCTCACAAGTGAATGTGATTTTAAAAAAACACATCAATATGATGCATCTCTTCTTACTACTGTAATAATGCGTACGTTTGGACGACTGATTGGTCGAATCAATTTAAAAAAATCTAAGTTCAAGAAAGTCAGAAATTGAGAAAAGTCGGATGAAATTTTTAATTTCATTGATTTTCATACTTGGCTTTGCAGACCAGCACAGGATAAGCAGTGATCATGTTATTGTTACTATAATAAGTGTTTAATAAATAAAAAATGTAATTATGAGAAAATTTAATTTTATTGATTGAACTTTTCATACCTATAAAATACAGTAGAATAAAATTTCAATTTTCTTTGAAAAATTATTACTCCTTTATCTTCTAAATTTTTATTAGCATTCCACTGTCATACAATCAGATAGCCAGTATTGTTTACATTGCAAAGAAATGCTCTTTGGTGAATATATAATATCTACTTTTACATTTTGATTTAGCAGGATCTAAAGATACGTAGGCACAATTTTCTTCTTACTATTTTTTCCAATTTGATAAATTTATTTTTTTTTAAATCCAAAATCATATAATATTATAATGGAGTATATTTTGAAAATAATTCTCAATTGTGCTCTATGGAACAACGAATAATACAAGAACATAAATAAAGTACTGGAAATACATTTTTCGTTATGACGAGGTTTGGCTTGCAACCGCCAAGCAGATATTGCACAAATCTTGGTTGTTCAGCTTCTCCAGGACCATCTCGCAGCACTCGATAGGCAGACGTTTGTGAATCAACTCGTGAAACGGATCCAGGGTCCAGCGTCGAAAAAATCCTCTCGATAGTTTTTCGCACAGATGCATAAGACAATTTTTATTATGTCTTTCTGGGATCATCAATTTATAATGACCCGATGATAATTGACCCGCGAACACGAAGTAATCCGTATACGTGAGTAGCTTTTCCTCCTCTTCGGATTTCAAGTGAATCAGATCGTAGAGCGACAGACTCGGAACGATCATCATCTCTTTGGCGTTGTTTGTGAACTCCTGATCATGGCGCAGAGATTTTTCAAGATCCGATGACTCGTCGAACAAATCGTGTTTAGCAAAGAATTTCATGATCGTCAGGGCGTCGCTTCGGCTGAAGCGATATCCTCTTGCCTCGAGATGTTCGGCGACGGCCAAAGCACCGGACGCTACTCTCATTTTCCAAAACAACGATGAACCAATTTGCAGTTCCGTATTAATTGAAGTTGAGAAAATGCAGTTGGTTATATCTGCGCCACGATTCAAGAGCACATCGACGGTGTTTGGCAATAGATTCGCCACGGCCAACTGCAACGGTGTCTTACCCCACTTGTCTCGGGCATTGATCTGGACCGTCAGCTGCATTTCATCACAGATCTCAAACAAGATCCGGGCGAATTCATCGTCGTCATATCGGTAGCAGATAAAGTGAAGAGGTGTACTTCCGTCACTGTCGGTTAGATTCGGACTGGCGCCACGTCTCAGCAGCAATTCGACCACCTTCTGTCGACCGTGCTCCAGAGCCAAGTGCAACGGCGCCCGACCCCGCTTGTCCCAGGCGTTGATGTGCAGCCGCTGCCGGACTTCATCGCAGACTACCAAGAACCTCTCGATCAGCTTGATATGATTGGGGCTACGGGATTCGCACAACCTGTGAAGAGGCGTCGATCCATATCGATTGACTGCATTCGGATTGGCGCCGTTTCTCAGCAGCAGCTCGATCGTTCGTGCACCGTTGACGTAGATCCACGAAGCCGAGAGTAGCGGCGAGTTGCCCGTTTCTCTCTGCGGGTGATTGGGATCCTGGCCGAGCTCGAGGAATTTCTCCACCAGGTCGTGACAGGCGAATTTGCAGGCCAAGTGGAAATGCTCCGGACGGGTCTCCTCGTCGAAGTAATTCGCATCGAATTTCGCGTATGTTTTGAAAATTAGTCGACGAACTCGAGGTATCGTGAGGTCACGATAAAAGTTAATTTTGCTTACTACACGTAGCAGCAGTCTGTCGAGTTCGGGATCGCCAGATCTGTAGTAGATTCGGAACACGAACACGATGAATCGTTGATATTCCTTGACGTGACCGTCGCCCTCGTAGAAGAGAAGGCCTTTTGCGGAATCCGATATGAGACGATTGATTTCTTTGGGTCGAAAGACGTTCCAAAAATCGGGAACTTCTCTACTCCGGGTTTCGATCAAAGGGTACAGTCGACGGAGAAACTCACGTCGCTCCGTCTCGACCTCCCAATTGACCTCCTCTCGCAAACTCTTTATTGTTTTTAAATCAACGTGCTCGGCCATTGTTTGCACTCGCACGCGATCATAAGACACTCGCGATATAACCAAATATATTTTTTTTTTTCACAAAAGTCACTTGATGTGCAATCGTTGCATTTATTTCTCGTTGTTCACACTGCCGCGTTCGAACGTATACTGATCTCCACAGTCAGAGAGTAAAAAAAACACACGACCGAATCATTGAGCGAGAGAGAGAGAGAGAGACAGAGAGAGCCAAGTTGTAGTTCGTGAATACCAGTAGATTTCGTTCGTTCGGGAATAAACGCCATCTTCGGCTGCTCGAACTACATTTTATCTTAAGAGAATTAACATGAGAAAACAACGCGCTGCGCCAACGCTCGTAACCAACAGCTGGAGCATATGGCACTTCATACTTCTTACTACTTTCATAAACTTTCTAATCGTTCACCGATGTATTAGTCCAGTGTGTCGTTTGACAGAGCACCTAAAAAAATTCGAGTCTCGCTCGCGACTCGATTTATACACGGAGAGAAAATATACGCGATTGAGGGAGGACATGTATCAAGCAAGAATCGCCGGAACGCTTGCCTGGCTCAATCGCTGGCTGTCCGGCGATGAGAGCCGGAGAACCAGGCAAGCGTTCCGGCGATTCTTGCTTGATACATGTCCGCCCTCAATCGCGTATATTTTCTCTCTGTGTAATCAAATGCTGTCGGCAAATATACAGTATACTTTCTCAGTGGTCGGAATTCCGCACATGCGTGTTGCAAAATGGTTATAATTTACAGAAACGCAAATATAACACGACTCCGTGCGGATCAAGTATCTCCGAATAATTTGAATGATTTTGGCGAAAATAAAAAAAAATCAATTTTTTCACATCGTATGCGTTAACGATGACGATGATGATATGTAACACTGCAGTTAATTTTGAGCGTTACTATCTCGGGTGAAAGTCACCTGTTAAGAATAAACTGTTTTCCTTGTATATGTATAAGTCGATATCTGTGTATGTATGTAGTATAATTATTATTGTGTAACACGATGTGTATTTAAACGTAAGTTGTAAGCAGGCGAGTGTCTGTGCGTATTGATCAGCGATGTCTCGCAGACACCAAGAGCGTATAGCGACAATAGCGATTTTAACCATAATTAAATCTAATTTATAAGCAAGCCTCGTGTACGTTTCAAGTATATTTTAAACCCTAACCAAATCATTTAACACACCTTTAGAGGAAACGCGCGGGGGAAAGGAGGGTGACAGGAGTAGTCGGTGACCAACTCTTTCTTTAATTGTAATGAACACTTATTTATTGGTTAAGAAAAATGGCTAAATTACATAAGAAATATATATCGATAGCTTAATTTCATACAAATATCGTTTCGGCTTCACAAATATTCTCAGTAAGACTATGGCTTAGAAGTCCTCAGACGGATAGCTCTCCACGTAAATACTCACACACAGGTAACGTTATCACACTGGTACAAACCGATATCCCAAAGAAAAGAAACGACTTCCAGAAAAAGTCAGAGAAACGACAGCCCAAAAAACGGAGCACGGCTTTGCGTGCTCTCGCTACGACGACCCAAGAGAGAAGAAGGCAGGGCCCCCGACTCCGCGGCAACGCTGCGTTCGGAGCGCCGTATTTCCCCTCATCCTCGGCCGCTGATTGGCCAAACCATCGGCTATACGCGCGGCTTGATCAGGCGGAAATAATGTCACAGATATTGACGAAGATTTTTAAAATTGTACATTTGTTTGATGCGAACTTTGCATTTTCGAAGCATGATTTAAAAATTGATCGTCAATAATTTATAATTGAATGGATTAGCAGGTATAAGTAACTTTAGTATTAGGAACATGTGGGTATTTATGACAATGATTAGGTTGGCGAGTACCCAAAAATATACGCTACAAATAGACATATAGATACAATTTTAGTTTTATAAGCCAATATCAATAAATTTCACGGTACCCACAAATATCTACGAGCGTTTACTGATACAGATTAGTACACGAAAAATAATCAGACTCGCGAGTGTCCGAAAATATCCGCGAGTACATGAATGAGTTTTTGTTCCACCCCAACCTAAACTAACATTTTACTTTCTCTGAACGAAATGAAAATGTTACTTTAGGCGGGGGGATTCACAAAAAATTGTATTTGTACCTACGTAGCGAAAAAATAAAGTCTCAGAGCTCGTGATTATCAACCTCGGCTTCGCCTCGGATGATAAATAACACGTGCTCTGAGACTTTCCAGTTTTTCACTCCCTAGGTGCAAAATATACTATTTCATGGATATAGATTTATCCACGAAAATTATTGATGTAGCGAGTAGCCGTAAAAATTCTCGAGTATTCACAGATACCATTAGATTGGCGAAAAATACTAGATCCACGAGAATCCGTAAATATCCATGAGAATAGGGGTATGTACAAATGGATCCACCAAAATATGTATGATTAGCGAGTATCTGCGAGCATCTACGCATTCAGATTCATCCACGAGAATGATTAGACTCACGAATAGTCACGAAGTCTTTACGATTATCAACGGATGCAATTTTATCCGCCAAAGTTATTAGATTCTCGAGTGTACTCGCGGAAACATCTACTAGTATTATTACATATCTATGTGCGAAAATCATGAGACTTGAAATCATCGGTAGCCGTGAAAATTCACGAGTGATATATCCTGGAACCAATTAGATTAACGAAAACAATTGAATTTCTGAGTTCTATAATATATATCGTTACAACCCACAAACATCCGTGACTAGTCGCGAGTTTCGCACGAAAGAAACTCACAAGTGGAAGTGATTTCATGAAACACATGGGTACGATGCATCACTCCTTGCTACTTTAATGCGCAAATTCGGTCGATCAATTGAACTTTTTCTTTTTTAAATAATATCATTATAAATTACACCATAGTAATTTAATTATGTAGAAACAATGTTAAAGGTATATATAAAAATAAATACATTTTTGAAAACTTATCCCTGAAGTTGATGTCATTTTTATAATTTTATCGTCAAATTTCAGTATTCAATTCTTCAAGCTTTTGGAAAATTATTCAGTTTTCTTAAAAATTCGAGAAATCTGACCTCACTCAAGAAAAGCTGAGTCGATTTCCCATTGAAATTATCCATTAGTTTTTTCTCTAGGTGTATTTAGGTACTTTAAAAAGAGTTACAATCTTAGCGATTCAATTAAATAATGTCCGGTTAAATAATGCGCAAGATCCACCCACGCATAGTGCAATGCGACTGACGTTGTTTCTGACCACTCGAACCGCTGCGGCGCCAGTGTCGAGTTTCTAAATATATCGTAATGCCTGTCCACCGTTGGTCAGTACACATTGAGAAGCCGAAGAGTACGCAGAGAAAGAAAAAGTTAAAGTGAAAGTTTGAGTGCCGAAGATGACGTTAAACGACGAACACGTGCATCAACTTAACCAAAAAAGTATAGAGAGACTGAAGATTATGCGTGAAAAGGTCCGTTGGTGGATTGACTGGGAGCGATATGAATTTCTTCGTCGACTTGACCCTTTAATCAGAGATTGGCAGGGCCAACTTCCCGATCTTCAAGACATTTTTCGGCCGGACGAAATCGACTGTCTTCTCAAGGTTTCTTTAAACTACCGGAAAATGAACCTGGATAAAGGTATAGGAGAACGGTTTATCGATTTTGTGATAGAAACCGACTACAAGGACGAGCCCGAAGTCGTCAGCGAGGCAAGCCGGCCATTCGTGTGTCGCACCACGGCACTGCATTGGGCAGCTAAATACAATTACAGCTCTCTCGTCGGTAAGCTTTTTGAAATATATCCCAGGTGCGATGTGACTTACTTCGACCAAGAGAACGACGACACACATTTTCGTGTAGCCTGCAAATTTGGCTGTTACGAAGTCGTAAAGAGATATCTCGAGCTCGGACAAGACCCCAATTGCCTCGAGCAAGTAACGATCTCAGTCGATTCGGAGTGGTATTATTTTATTAGCCATCAAAATGAGAGTAAAAAATTTATCAAACCGCCGTTACTTTTGGCTCTGTCGAACAAATGCAAAGAGGTGGCACGATTACTACTCGAACGTGGCGCCAACCCCAGTTTGACACTGCTGGACATGGGCAAAGGTCAATTCGACAATGACTCGGTCGAGTTGTTATTCGAGATCATGGATGACATGCAGCTGACGGTGCTGGACGACGCCCGGGACGACTTTGGTAACACACCGCTGCACTTGGCTGTACAACGGGGCAATGCAAAGGTAGTCGAGTTTCTGCTGAGGAGAGGCGCCGATCCCTATTTAACCAACGCACATGGGCAGACAGCTCTGCACATTATTGGCCTTAGCCAATTCTATGGTGACTTGGTGGATATGTTCTTCAAGATCGTCGACGAAAAACATCAACCGGTTCAGGTCGACACCCAAGACCAGTGGGGTTCCACTCCATTGCACTTGGCTCTAAAAAGGAACTACAAGAAGGCGGCCGAAGCACTGCTAGTAAGAGGGGCCAGTCCGAATTTGACCGATAGAGAAGGATCGACTCCTCTTCATGAGATTTGTAGGAGAGACGATGGTGATAAACTTATGAGGGTATTTTTCGAGATCAACAATGCCAATCAGCGCACGGTGCAGGTCGATGCCAAGGACAATGAGGGTAGGACACCTCTTCAATTGGCTGTGGGACATGTATTGCCAAATACTGTAGATTTACTTTTGAAACATGGCGCTGATGTGTCGAGCTTCGTCTTCCCCGCAGTGAGTTATTTTGAAAAGAGTTTAAAAATGTCTTTTAATTGGAAATTGAGACTAGCAAGTGGTCTGATGTCCATCGTCGAACACCTTGAGAAAAGAGGATACGAACTGGACCGAAGCGACGCTCTGATCGTCATGAAATTATTCTCCAAGTACGGTTTGTTCGAGAAGTCATCGAATCCTGAAAAATGTTGGTACGACGAAGAGGAGTTTGCAGCAACAGCGAAAAACATAATGATGAATCCGAGGTTGTCACTCCTCGGCACGATCCAGTTA